TAATTTAGATTACAAAACATAACCTATTAGATCAAAGGGCAATAGCTAACATCAATGGCCCACCACATCCAATTCAATAATTTATATTACATAGTTTGTTGTAGTTTAGATTGTACAATATTTCTTTGTTTATTTATTTTTGGGTTTTTTTTTGCCAAAATTATAATTATTCATTCACAACATTTTCTTTTCTTATGATTTTCATCCGTTTTATTTTGGTTTTATGGTTAATAAACAATATTTTCATGTGGATAGATGAAAACCTTTTTATATAGTATATCTCAATAAATGAAATGATTTTCTAACATGTTTTTAAGAATGTAATAAGTACATATATTTATGTAAAAATATAAAAATTAGTATTAATTTTAATATTATTGTTACTTAGATAAATAACTGGACAATTTACATATTAATATTAGCTTTTATTGTTTCATGTTAATTAATATTACCGAAAATATTTACTTTTTCTTTTTGAAATAAATGTAAATATTTCACCCTTAACATATATTCTAAAAACAAAAATTAAAAAAACTCTCTAAATAAAATTGGTGGGAAAATAATAAATGAAAACTTCATCATTTTACTTATTTTTTAATAGTAATAATTGTGTTTTTAAATTCCTTTATCTCCAGGCAAAGAGAAATCTTATAGGAAAAACCTTCAAAAATAATATATTTTTGAGATCTAGGTCTTTAAATCCTAATTTCAAAGGTGAAAAAGACACTTTTGTGCACAAAAGAATTTATATTGTGGGACAAAGATATCTAATGACGAGGAGTAATAACTGCAACTACTTCCTAATGAAAATCTTTCAGTGACTTAAATTTGTTCCAAGTTGGAAATTATGGTTTGGTTTGTAATCATTAAGATCGTTAGTTGTTTCCAACTTAGAACAAGTTTAGGTCAAAGAAAGAATTTTCTGAAAACGTAGCTGCAATTAATCCTCATCACCATTAGATGTCTTTCCCCCGATGTATAATATCTACCCACAATCTAGGTCCTTGAAGCCTAGTTAGTTCAGTAGTTAAAAAACACTTACCTAAAATAAAAGAACTTAATTAATGGTCTATAACTTTTATGACAGTTGATGATTTTCAACTTAAAGTCAGTTTAAAGTTTTAAAATGATTTTCTTAAAGAGTAATGATGCAAGAGACGAAATCGCGGGACGATTTTGAAGGATGACAAGTGATGAAAGGATTTATACCTGTAGTGCAATTACTAATTTAACCTTTGCATCACTTGTCGTTCTTCAAAATCGTTTTGCGATTTCGTCCCCTGCATTATTACTCTTTTCTTAAAATGGTAATTGCACTTAATCTTTTTCATCATTAACTATCTTTCTCCCATAATCTAAGTTCTTTTGTTTAACAATAAGTCCCAACCTAGACTTCACAACAGTTATCGTGAGTTGGTTTACAACCATTGTGACTATTAATTATTTTTAATTTGAAACAAGTTTACGACAAAAGAGAATTTTCCTAAGGGGATAATTGCAGCTAATCCTCCTCCTCATACTATATCTTTCTCTCATGATCTAAGTTTTTTTTATAAAAATGTCTTTTAACACTTAAACTATAAAAAAAATATATATTTGCACCGAACCCTTCGGGTCAAATGGCAATAGCCACTCTATGGTGCACTCTCCCCTCCCCTGGGCTGGGTTCGACCCAACCCCGTGTAAAAACTGTTCAAAAAATAAAAAATATATATTTATTGTATTCTTAATATATTTTTAAAATAAATGTTAAAAAAATCTCTAAATAAATTTGATAAAAATAGTAAATTAAAATTTCATTGTTCAACTTATTTTTTAATAGTAATTAATAATTGTGTTTTTAAATTCTTATGTCTCAAAATTTATAAAAAAACTAAATCGGACCTTTGCATCCAAATGATTCTTGTTCAAGTTTTTAAATATTTAGGTTTAGTTAGTCGAATTTCAAACTCACCAACAACTTAAAAATCCTTATCTCCCCTACCCCAAAACTAGTAAATTGTTTATAAAAAAAAAAAAATTTTTGTGGGAGAACATAAAACCATGGAGGGTGGAGATTTTAATGGATGAGCATTTAAAATTGTAGTACATACATGGTCCCTACCTGGATGACAATGGGGTATGGAATTGCTTTAGCATTTAAGAAAGTAGGTGTGTTGGTGTTAGTGGGGTAATCGTCCAAAGTTGGCCATTACATTGTAGGATTGTGGAATTGGGGATATGATATCTGTGTCACATCAGACATCTTAATTTGGATATGTTTGTCGAAAATTGATTGGTTATATATATATTTTTCTTCATTACTTAATATATTACTTAAAATAAGTTGTCCTTAGAATATCTAACATGCCTAACGCCGTCGGACAGATCCAGAGAGCTGGTCTCCTCCGTCAAGACACAGTAATCCAAAATCTGCCACGTATGCTTCCCACGAATCACAGCGTCAATAAATATCATCTCCCTCCCTTCCCCTTTATTTGATTCTATTCTATTCTACTCTTATTTTTAAATAAAAATATTTTTATCAATAATTTATTAATCTGAATGAAAGGAACCTGATTCATTTTAAATAAAATCTTAAATTTGAGTCTTATAAATAAAAAAATAAATGTTGAGAGCGTTTCTCTTGTAATAAAGTTTGACGCAATTTAATTTTGAATTAATCAAAATTTAATATAATTATTAAATACAAAAAGTTAATAACAAAAAAAAAATATTTTTTAACAAAACTAAAATAAAAAAAAAAATCCTTTGTTTACCATCTCTATTGTATCAGATATAAAAATAATATTAAAGTGTATTGTGTTTAATTTTTATTAATTTTTATTTTTTATTAAAAATGTATAATAATAGTAATAAGTAATTGAGATGGTAAAAAAAAAGAAAAGAAAAAAGAGATGCAGTAAAACATTAACCTTTGAATTTTTAGATGGCGTGGCTCTTCATGTCATATTTTGTAACTTATTACTGTTTAAGGTGGTAAAAACATTTTTTTATATATAGAAAAAAAAAACTCTGTACGAATTAAACTAACAATGTTCTGTATTCTTCTTTCTTAAACCTTAGGCATAAATACTCCCATTTTATCTGGTTCTTCATCCAGTTTACAAAAAAGATCTGAGAATTTTCTGGGACTATCTGGATTTTTCCTCTTAGGGAAACAGGGATTCGAGTGAGGAAGTAGATGTGGATTCTAAGATAAGAGAAAGTTGAAAGACAGTGTTAAGCAGTTTCAGGGAGTTTGTCTTGTTAGGAAGCAAGGTTCGGAGGATGAAGATACTGTGTAACGTGTGCGAGGGGGCGGAGGCGAAGGTTCTGTGCTGCGCGGACGAGGCGGCGCTGTGTTGGGCCTGTGACGAGAAGATTCACGCGGCGAACAAGCTCGCTAGCAAGCACCAGAGAGTTCCTCTCTCTTCTGCTTCTTCTTCTTCTCCCACGCCGAAATGCGACATTTGTCAGGTAAACATTCTTTAAAATATTCTCCTTTCTTTTTATAAATTTAACACTTATATATTTATTTATTTTTTTTATTTTTTGTCCTTCTCTCTTTTTCTTCTGATTATAATTTTTTGTTTGAATGTGAAAATTAGGATAATTAAGGAGAAATTGATAGATTGTACTCTTAGGCATTAGATTATTTACAAATAAAGAACTTGATACATGGGAATTTTTTCCTGATCGGATAGCTTGCTCTAAGTTAGCACATTTTCCCATCTTTTCTAATGCCTCACCCTGGCACTTGTTCTCCATCCCAGTCATCTTAGTTCCATGAGGAATGAGATTAGTTCCAACTTTCAAATTCGCAAATAGGGGGGATTTTAATGAACGAGAAAAGAGGTTAAATTTTTCATGGCTAACTTAAGGGTTCGATCCAATTGTAAATAAGAGTGATTTTGTAGATTTCAAGTTCAAGTTTTAGGATTAGAACCATAAAAAATTAATTCCACCAAAAAACATATATATTCATGGCTCGTGCCATAGCTATAGCTGGAAGAATCTAATAAAGTTTTTACCACATGGGATTTAACCAACAAAGATTAGTGAAATTTCTAAGTATTCAACTTAAAAAGTCAATCCAATGAGAAATCTTGGTTTTGTAGCGTGTTTTATATTTGCTATTGGTTGATCTTGACTTGGTATGTACACTTAAGTATAAAAAATGTTATGGCAGTTATTGGACCTTGACAAGACAAACCTTCTTCTGACAGGAAATATCTGGATTTTTCTTTTGTCTACAAGATCGAGCTTTGCTCTGCCATAAATGTGATACTGCCATACATACAGCAAATGCATATGTTTCTGGCCATCAGAGATTTCTGCTTACAGGAGTAAAATTAGGTCTTGAGGCAACTGAACCTGGTGCATCCTTTTCAACTGTCAAGTCTCCTTCTTGTGAAAAGACCTCAGAAACAAAATCCAATTCCATATCCCAAAGGAGCACTCAAATGCCGTTAGGTGGTGAATACAATAAAGTTCTACCAGCGAATGCTGGTGGAGTTGGGACCAATGCATTGACAAGGGAGTCATGTGCTGGGGGTTCTGTAGCTGGAAATGGTTCTACAGCATGGCAAATAGAAGAACTTTTTGGACCAACTGACTTCCATCAAAGTTTTGGTTACATGGATAATGGTTCATCTAAGGTGTGCATATGTTTATGGTTTCTCTAAATTTTTATCCTTTTATGTATTGATTCCTTCCTAGAGCGGAAGCTTCCCTTTTTCCAATATTGCTAAATGCTAATGCTTTCTACTAATTTGTTTTTTCTATAAATACACCCAAAGTTCTTTTCTATTACAGCAGAAATTAATACTTACCTCGTAGTTTGCATCCCCCTCCCTCCCTCTTGCACCTGGTGTTACGTGCATGCACAATCTCAAGCAGACATCAGACATGCCTTCTAGACTTCTAATGTGTGTGATTTCTCTAAACCAAAAGAAGAAGAATAAGCCTCAGGCATGACTACTCATGATGGTTTCCAAATATCCCTTCTTGTCTAACATTAGTTTGTATGCCACTGCAATTGACACTCTAATAAAAAGTCATATAATAGGTGATATTTGCATGATTTGTCTAATGGGATAACCCTGCAGTGGCAAATTAGGTTGACTGTGGCACCAAATATGAAGTACTAGTGGTGTCCGATTTGTATTTCAATCGGGTGTACTTAACACAGCTTAATTCTGTGAGTAGGTAGAAGTAGAAGTTGAGCATGGATTTTGCAGCAAGTTTATTTGCAAGAGCCATTTTTAGAATGTCTCTGATTCAGATTCAGAGGTAAATTAAGCATACTGTAAAAAGTGCAATAGAACAAACTCCCATACACCATGACTTAGATACAGCAACCACACCATAGTGAAATAATTTTTTCTGATAAAAATTGTTTGATTTGTTGATCAGCCTTCACTTTTTCTGGGTTTCTGCCAAACATGTGCTTGAATGTAAACAACTGTCTCAGCAATTGGATTATTTCAACAAGTTTATCTAAGAATTTCCAAATGAACCTGAATATCTTTTCCAATATGATGCAATCTTTCAAGTATGGCCATGGTTTGACTCCTTGTTTGAAGGTGGTGTGTTTGTTTTGTCCCTGCCTGGTAATTTGATCTGCACATTGGCTATTTAACTTCTATTATTTAGTCCTTAAAAGGTCTTGGGGATTCTACTCTTTTGGGGTGGTGGGGTTAACTATGCCTTAACTTTACTGTGGATGCTTTGCTAGGATGATAGCGACAAGCGTGGGGATTCTGATAGCTCACCAATTTCGAGACCTACAGAGGAAGAGGTAGATGATGACAAGCGCTTAGGTCAAGTGCCAGACTCCTCTTGGGCAGTGCCTCAAATGCCGTCCCCTCCTACGGCATCAGGCCTTTTCTGGCCAAAAGATTCTCAAAATCAATCTGATGCTGCAGTGTTTGTGCCTGACATACATGCTGCTCAACCATAAATCCCTTCCATTCACAGCGTAAAGGCGTTGCCACTAAGCGTGAAAGGCAAAGTTAGAATCAACAAGGTAAGGCCTCAAGCTCAAATTGGATATCCTACGGTATTAACAACTCTTCTCAGGTGTGCTTTTTGCCCATTATCATGTAGTCATCCTTCCTCCCGAGTCACAAGTGCCTCAAAGTGTCTTTAGCTATTTTGCATCTTCTGGTTTGGTTCATGCCACTTATTCCCTGTCTAGGTTTTCGCCATTATGGTCTAGCCATTTGGTTGTCCTAAGATAAAAACAAATGTATTTTACTAGTAGAAGATCTTTGATGGAAGGATTTGGTGGTGTCTTGATACTAAGTTGTACTCTGGTTGAACAAATTAGTTTAATTAACTTAACAAAGGCTGTAATTACCTTTGTTTCCAAAGTGTCCTTTCCTTTTATTGTTCTTTCCTAAAAGAGAACAAAGATAGAACTTACCCCCCAGTAGAGCATGTTCTGTAACGAGCTTGTCTCTCTGAGCAAGCTTAGTTACCTTTTCTTCAAAGGAAAAGCATTGCATCGCCTGACATACCATCAGCGACGGATAATAATACAATGAACAGTATTTGACAATAGAGTTATAAATATAAATAGTAACAAACAATAAGTAAGTTATAAATGTGAATTATAACAAAAATAGCAACAAATATTGACTAAGGCAAAGAAAGTAGAATAAGTAGACAAAATGCTAATAAAACAGTAACGTTATCGACAAAAATGAACAGATATTAACTAAATATTGACAAGTAAATACTGTGAGTAAATAACAACATAATAAGAAAGGCGAACTTAACTAAAATGAAATAATATTCTAACAGGTAGGTAAAAAATAACATTTAAACCATTAGCTCTTTATTTTTTATTTAAATATATAAAATGTGAGTTGAATAAAATAATGTGAATGTAATTTTTAAAATAACTCTATATGACCATGAATTTGAAATGAAGTATTTTATTAACTGTTTTATTTAAGAATTAAATATATAAAATTATGAGTTTGTATTGTAAAATAATATAAACTAATATTATTAATAATATTAATTTAATTATGAGTTTATATAAAATGCCACTAGCCGTCACAAATTCATAAAACGAGAATTCCTAGTTCATTCCAAATTCGATCTTTCCACTTGAAACACAATCAGGTTTTTACAAGGTGGGTAGTCAGCTATAAAAACCCCATTCTTGTTTTCCCTACTCGCCAATCTGCTAAGGTCGAGATGAAAGGCACAGTGGGTGACGACAATAAACCATCGTCCGTGGAGGAGGAGTTCTGTAGCCAGGTTGCTCAAGGATTTCGCACGCACATTAAAGAGATCCAATCTGAGAATCGGAGTCCAGAGATATATCTGGTATCTAACCCAACAATGGAACATGGTGCAGTTTTAAACATTGCCGATTGTATTCAAAGGTCATCTCCGTTCTAAGGTGTGAAACCTATGAATTACTTGTGGCGGCCAACGGTGATGAAAGCACACGCACTCAGGCTATAGGAACAGGAGATCCTCTGCTGTAATTATGCAATGTCCGGAAAGAACTTGAATTGCTACTTGGGATGATTGGAATATTGAGCGAATTGTACCAAGCTATCCAGCGTAAGAGCATCCTCTCAATACAGTAACCATGTCTCCAGGATAGTCTTGATATTGATAGGATTAAAAACTGACTTCATGAGTTGGCAAACTCCGGACATTGATGTCAAAGGGATTCAAGCGGTACTGAATGTTCAGTTCCATTAAAATCTTGACCAATGTGAACACACTTATTGTAAATATTTTATTTTTTAAAATATTTTTTTATATACTTTATACCTTAAAACATTTTTTTAAACACCTATATATAGATCATTATACATATAGTATTATTCAAAAAAGCAATAACCTCTTGGTTCTTTTCTCTTATGATTGCTATTTGGTTTTTTGTGGAGTTGGATTTTCAAATCCATTCTAGATCTTAAACTTTGTCGTTGGGGTCTCTACTCCTACAGATTAGATTGTTAATTCCCGATCCTCAAGTCCTTTTTGAGGTATTTTGTTGGTTTATTATTTCGATCTTGGCATCTATTTCTTCGTATTTTAGAATTTTTCAGTATTGTGAGTTTTACTGATTCTATGGTGAGTTTTGAAAGGATCGTAACTCATCCTGCTACTGCTATGGTTGCAAAAGAAGTGATAGACCAATCTAATGTCAACCTTGAAACCCTAAAACATGTGATATTAAATCTTTTTAATGTTCCTACTGCCTTATTTACTACTTCAGGTACTAAATTTTGGTCTTTTGATTTTGGTTGTTGTAACCATATGTCTTCAATTACTGCTTGTTTCTCTTCAATGTCATCAAATAATTCCTTTCCTGAAATTTATTCTACTAATAGTTCCACTATGAATGTTAGTCACATTGGTAATATTTCTACGAAGTCATTGACTTTACCAAATGCCCTCTTAGTTCCAAAACTTAGTTATAATCTTCTATCTATTGGTCAATTATGTGATCTTGGTCTTAAAGTAACATTTTCTGCTCATGGTTGTCATGTGCAGGACCCATGGACATGACAACTTCTTGGAACTGGTCGCAAGGTGGGGCGTTTGTTTGAGCTCAACTATCTGCATATTCCAAATCATAACATGGATACACCATCATTTCCAAATGATCGATTCATCCAAACCTTGCTTTGTGCAATTGAATTAGAGTCTTTGCAAATTCCATACCAACAAATCTTTCAAGCCTGTGCTATTACTAACATTTCTCCTCTTCATTTGTGGCACTCACAGCTTGAAAATACCTTAGTCAGTAAACTTCGTCCACTTATCTCTCGTGGTTTATTAGGATCTGTTCCAAATGAATCTTTGCATTGTGCGTCATGTCAATCTGCAAAACAACCAACTTTATCTTTTTCTAGTAGTCATTCTCTTTCTGCTGCTTCTTTTGATCTCATGCATTCTAATGTTTGGTGTCCATCTCCATCACCTACCATGGGGGGTTCCAAGTATTTTGTATTATTTATTGATGATCATACTCGTTTTACCTGAATATATCTTATGAAAAATCGCTCTAAGTTACCATAAATTTATTTTGATTTTGCTATCATGGTCAAAACTCAATTTTCTAAAATTATCAAAGTTTTGAGAACTAACAATGCCAATGAATATCTTAGTACTAAACTTCAATCTCTTGTCAAAGAATAGGATACATAGACGCAACAATCATGTCCTTACACTTCTGAACAGAATGGGCAAGTCGAATGTAAACACAGACATATCCTTGATTCTGTTCGTGATTTGCTCATTTCGTCTTCTTGTCCAGAGTGATTTTGGGGCAAAGCTGCTCTTATAGTTATTTATCTCATTAATCAGATTCCATCCTCCGTGATCAATAATAAGTCTCCATATAAATGTTTACATGGTATTCCTCTTACTTATGATCTTCTTAAGGTTTTTGGTTGTGCTTGTTTTGCTTTTCTTCCACCTCATGAACATAACAAGCTAGAGCCAATACTCGATTATGTTGTTTTTTGGGTAATGGGATTATACATAAAGGATATCGTTGTTGGAATCCTGTGTTACAAAAACTTCGAGTCTTACGTCATGTTGTCTTTTGGGAACACACTATGTTTTTCTCGTTATCAAACTTCCAGGTGTCATCTTTTGATAAACCTCCATTTTTTACTAATCTTTCTGTTGAGCTATTCCCTAGTGATTCTGATACAGGTACATCTGATGAGCTCTGTAATGCCTCACCACATGCTCCAACTACTTCTACAAAAGATGATTTGCCTATTGGTAATGCATTAAATAATTCTAAGCCTTCCTCTACTCCCTCATCTATATCACATGTTGATGTTGCATCTGATATTATTGAGTTTACAAATGAGCTTGTTGTCCCATCCTCAAGTAGCCTACTCGAGTAAGAAATCCTCCTAGCTACCTTCGCGATTATCATTGTTTTCTTGCTATTACTTCTTTACATGAGCCTCAATCATATTGAGAGGCCTCTACTAATCCTCTTTGGCAATGAGCTATGCAAGATGAATTACAGGCTCTTGAGAACACTCATACATGGGATTTAGTTTATCTCCCTGCTGAAAAGTCTCTGATAGGCTGTAAATGGGTGTATAAGTTTAAAACACAATCTGATAGTTTTGTGGAGCATTATAAGGCATGCTTGGTTGCCAAGGGTTTTACATAGGAGTATGAAATAGACTATGAGGAAACATTTGCTCCAATTGCTCATCTCACATCTATGCGCAGTTTGCTTGTTATTGTTGCTATACGGAGATGGAAATTGTTTCAGATGGAAGTGAAAAATGCCTTTCTTAATGGTGATCTAGAAGAAGAAGTTTATATGAAATTGTTTCACACGCACTCAGGCTATAGGAACAGGAGATCCTTTGCTGTAATTATGCAATGTCCGGAAAGAACTTGAATTGCTACTTGGGATGATTGGAATATTGAACGAATTATACCAAGCTATCCAGCGTAAGAGCATCCTCTCAATACAGTAACCATGTCTCCAGGATAGTCTTGATATTGATAGGATTAAAAACTGACTTCATGAGTTGGCAAACTCCGGACATTGATGTTGACGGGATACAAGCGGTACTGAATGTCCAGTTCCGTTAAAATCTTGACCATCTCTTCCACAAAGACTAAGAGGGTTCTTCTTACCCACCTCTCTCCCATGTCTTGATGATTCATTCTGTGTGTTAGCCATACTGCAAACCTCACTCTATTCAAGCCTTCCAAATCCTTGCATATAATCGTTGGTTTTGGATGCCAGTGCTCCTTCTTGTTCTCTACGTAACTGCATTATGAAATGATCCTTACAATCCATCCAGAAACCAACCTTCCACATATTAGAACCAAAACCATGACCTTCCATTTCCACAACTCAAGTTTCCAAAGTTTCTTCTCTCTCAAATAAGGAATTGTAATGCTACTTCGCACTTTCCCGCTGACTATTAGCCGGCTGCTCAATAGAAACCCGATTCCCCTGCCGCTGACGGGGATTCTGAAACGGATGGCAAAACTCGATTTCCCGGCTGCAGCTCGGCCATCTCCAAATCCATTTCTAGCGAAATCTCCCCGGACGCTTTCTGTTTGTGCAAGAACTGCCCAATCAGCTTTGACAGCGGGTCATCGTTCACTCGCTTACCCGGAATAAAATCAAAATCCTCACTACTGTTACTTCCATCTTTACTACTCCCAGTCACATCCACATTCTCTTTTTCCTGTTCTTCATCAATTTATAAGAATAACTCAAAAAATCATAGCCCGAGTCTCCCCAAATCCTGTTCCCACCACCGGAAGCGTTGCTTTGACTACTTCCACCGCCAATCCTTATAACGAACTCCCTCCGATTAGCCGAATCAACGGTTATTGTACACCTGGTTTAAATTCACCAGCACTAGAATGCCAATGCCGATGATGTAGGAATATAATGACTGGGACAGTTGAGACTTTTTCTTTTTTTTTGAGAGAACGTGGTTACGTAGGAGAGGGAGAAGCAGAGGGATTTTTTTTATGTGTTGTTTGGTTGTTAAGAAATTGCGAGAAAATAGTTTGGTTTGCGGGAGTTTGTTTAATAGGAAGAAATTTGGTTGAGTGGAGAGGGAGAGCGTGTCTGGAAAACCACTTGATGAAGTTCTAAAGGTTTTTAAGATAAAAATACTTACTGTCTACATTATCTTTTAAAAATGAAGAGGGGGATTATTTTAATAAATTTTTATTAAAAAATTAATTTTTTTTATTTTTAAAATATAAATTAATTTCTTAAAATATTTTATTAAAATGATATAATTAAAAAAAAAATTCTTTAAATTTTAAGAATTAAAAGCAGATAAGTATTAGGCTAACTCATGGGGGAGAGAAGAGAGAAGAACAAGTGGCGCATAGAGAGGAAAGGCTTTGGTTACAGGGGAGAATGAGGTGTTGGGTAAAAAGGATGGAAT